TTAAGGCAGGCTATGCCTGGCTTTGAAGCCTGGACTTAGCAGTTACTGGCTACACGGTGTCTTCCATAACATGGTGATATCCACACTTGGATACCTCCTATTATACAGGGGACTCATCCACAGCTAATATGACAAGGATTTTATCTTTTTGGGCTTCAACCTTGACAAAAGTGAAGATGGGAATTGTAGTCTAAAAACCCAGGGTGATAGTGTGAGCTGCTAATCTCTGACTGGCCCACCAAGATTGCTGAAACCAGGGCATCTGTTGACACTTGACTGGATGGCATAATTCTCATGAGGCAGGTGATGACCTGGTACCACAGTCCCAAAATAGTCCAAATGTATACTGTTCTCCTAAAGAAGACCATCTCAGTTTGCACTGTAGTTACACAATAACAAATGCAGATATCACCAGTCAACCAACACCACGCAGACATTTTACTTTGCTAACATGGGACGCAAGCAGTTTGAGTTTTAGAAGGTCCACTGCCTATCACTCTCCTAATTCTCATCACCAAGAGGCTTCCAAACCTGTGCCTCTGCCTGGGTGACTCAGCACTCAATCTTAGGCTTCTAACAGTTTTTGTTTTTTGTTTTTAACAGTACATGGGAAGAATTGTCTTAGCCTCTGTGAGAAAACATTGGCCTTTATTCTCCCATGGAAGAAGTAAAAGCAAGTCTGTGAATATAGTATGATTGCTATTGATTCTCTGTTTAAGGAGAGGACAAAGCTGTGAGAACTGGACTAGAAGGCAAGCAGTTGCTTCAACAGGACAGCTAATTTCTCTGTGACAGATAGTGATTCAGTCTAGATGAGAATGTGTGAGGTCCCCAGGCCTCCTTGTTCTGAGGGATATTGTCTTGGTGCCCAGAGTTCCTGGTTGTCAACTAGGTGTAGGGTCATGCAGGGGCCCTCTTACCAAGGGTAAAAGTTCTGGTATGAGGAAAATACTGGAAAATCAGTATCTGCTGATAATAGTAGGCAGATTATGGAATAGCGATAACATGCTTAGACTGGCAGGAATAATGGAGTGCACCAGCCAATGGCCCCTGGTCACTCCACCCTAGCGTATATCCCCAATAACCCCAATAACTGCTTCCCCCATGCATGTACACTCCCTAGGTACTTGCCCCACCTTTGTACTCAATGCTAATAAAGACAAGAGTGCCTTTGTATTGGGGCTGCACATTACTTCCGGTGTAGCCCCTCTAGGCTTCTCATTACTCCACATAGACTTTGAGTCATCTTCCCCTCATCCTGAGCTGTTTCCAACACAACCGCCCCTCGAGGCAACAAGGATGCACTGAGCACAGAGGTTGGACAAATACTGCATTAGATGCTAGTGACATAAAGATGAAAGGAATGTAGACCTTATCAGAAAAACTTCAACTCCTAGAAGGAAGGACACATGAAACACACATTGCAATACCTCATAATGGTGACCGGAGATACAAAAGACAAAGTGCAAGTACACTGGGGTAGTAGAGGAGGAGTCAACCTGAAAAATTTCACACAGGGTGTGACTGACACAGGTTAGTATCTCCATGTTGATTCTTGCCAGTGGTTATGTTAGGGGGAAAGGATGTCCTGAGCTAATTCCATACAGGCTTTGTGGACTCCACCCCCACTCCAGACCAAAGCCATCAGGACATTGGGGAAGACAAATCCCGTCACCACCAAAGGGAAGGTGGCTGGGACCTGAGGGTGGAGTTAAGCAGCCAGGTGTGGTATAAAACCAGACACATGGGCCTTGGGGTCTCAGTCTCTCTTCTTGGCTTCATGGCTGGTGGCTCACCCCCAGCTCTCGGAGTGCCATGTGGAATTCCAGATCCGCGGATCGGGTAGGACGCATTTAAGACTTTATCTCCCACTTTTCCCCTGAGTTGTACATTTCCTCATTTCCCCTTCCCTTGTGAATAAACCTTTTATTAACCTTTTGTGTGACCCTGCAGTGGAGTATTAAGTCCCTTTTAAGCGCGCAGGTGAGGACCCACATTCAGGCAACCCGTTTTATATCGGGACTGCCCTGTAACAGTTATTTATTAAAAAAAAATAAAAGGTGGAGTTTAGTGACATTTCAAATTTGCTTTTTTCTTTTACTTTTTTCTTTCTTTCTTTTTTTTAAAGATTTATTTATTTATTTATACAAGCACTGGGTACAGTCAGAAGCGTGGGAGGGTGAGAGAATTCACCAGAGCCAGAGTGGAGAGCAGAACAGGCAGACTGACGAAGTACACTGCTGAGGGGAGCAGCGGGCCGCAGGAGAGGTCTGCATGCCATGTGGGGTTCTGCGCGCCATGTGGGACCCTCCTCCCGGTGGCCGGGGAGCAGCCGGGGATCGAACTGACGCTGCAGAGGATGTGGGCAGCTTCACAACCCAGCGCTCAACCGCTGTGCCACCGGTGAGGCCCTCTTTTACTTTTTCTTTTTTTTTTTTTTTTTTTTTTTTTTAAATAGAGGCATGTTTATTTATTTGTTTGTTTGTTTGTTTGTTTGTTTATTTATACATGCACTGGGTACAGTCAGAAGCGCGGGAGGGTGAGAGAATTCACCAGAGCCAGAGCGGGGAGCAGAGCAGGCAGAAGGACCGAAGGACACTGCTGAGGGGAGCAGCGGGCGGCAGGAGAGGTCTGCGCGCCATGTGGGACCCTCCTCCCGTGGCCGGGGAGCAGCCGGGGATCGAACCGGCGCCGCAGAGGCCGCGGGCAGCTTCGCAACCCAGCGCTCAACCACTGCGCCACCGGGGAGGCCCTCTTTTACTTTTTTCTTAATGAACTTTTCAATTTATACTTAAATTTATGTTTTACAAATATATTCGCATATGTGTATGGTGTGGATAGATGCATGTGTACGTGTGTGTACATATACAAACATTAGGATATAGTGCTCCCTTTAGTGACACTGGTTCCTGTTTCTTTAGCGTATGGTCAAGTGTTCAAATATGTTTGAAGCTGTGCTTCTTCTACTTTTGTAGATATTAATGGTGATTTCTTCTAAAGAAGTTGAAATGAGGGCCTCCCCAGTGGCGCAGCGGTTGGGCGCTGGGTTGCCAAGTTGCCTGCAGTCTCTGCAGCGCCGGTTCGATCCCCAGCCACCGGTGAGGGTCCCACATGGCGTGCAGACCTCCCCTGCTGCCCGCTGCTCCCCTCAGCAGTATATTTTGGTCCTTCTGCCTGTCCTGCTCTCTGCTCTGACTCTGGTGAATTCTCTCACCCTCCTGCGCTCCTGACTGTACCCAGTGCTTGTTTAAATAAATACATCTTAAAAAAAAAAAAAGTTGAAATGAATCAATATGCATTATATATCACTACATATGATATATATATCTTTGACATTAATTTCCAAAATGCCTCCCTTTCTTCCTTTCTAGGACTTCTGTCTTTACTTTCTCCTCTGTATTTTATTCAGTAAGCTTGCCACATAATTTGCCAGTATCAATGGCCTGTAACCCTGCAACATACCCCAGGATCTCTTATTTTTTTTTTTTAAAGATTTATTTATTTATGCATAGGAGAACTGGAATGTAGGCCAGAGGTGCGGCGCAGAGGGTGGGGGGAGGTGAGAGGATTCACCAGAGTCAGAGTGGGGAGCAGAACAGGCAGATTAACTGAAATACTCCACTAAGAGGAACAAACAGTGGGCGAGACAGGAGAGGTCTGCTGTGCCATATGTGGGTTAGCTCCCTGACTGGGAATTGAACTCAAGGCACAGCAGTGATGGTGCTGAGACTTAACCCTTAGGCCACCAGGGAGGCCCCCCGCCAAGATCTTTTAATATGAACACTTCAAGAGGCCCGGTATTAGGGCCTTTTTATGCAGTCTTTTTTTTACTGTCAAAGTTCTACTTGTTGTGCCCAAGTTCAGCAGACTCGGCAAGCATAGCCTCCAAGAACCCAAAGACAGCTGATGCAAACGCAAAAGGGAGTTTATTTCAGACTCGAGTATGGGTTCACGGCACCTGCCAATGCAGTGGCAGATACCGAGAGCCCCGAACAAAGGAAGCAGGGGTCTTTTAATAAGGTTAAATTATGCTGGCAGTTACTCATTGGCTACAAAGATGCGTTCTCCAACTTTGCCCAGCTATCATTCTAAGCTGACTGGCCAGGCCAAGATGCAGCTCCAACCTGCAGCTCCAATTACAGCAAGTTCGCCCTCATTGGTGACCAGAGAGTAAGGGTGGAGTGAGGGTCCAAACTATCTCTGGAATGCAGTCTTTACCCAGCAAAACCTTAAATTCTAAAATGGCAGTTACACAAAGCGATGGCTAAGAATACTTATGCTTGGTTCCACACTATGCAATTTTGTAATTTCTAAGTAGTTTTGCCCTTTGGAAAGTACTGCAGTATTGCCTGTTCTGCTCCCCACTCTGTCTCTGGTGAATTCTCTCACCTACTGCAATTCTGTCCTGTACCCCAGTTCTTGTATGCATAAATAAATTTTAAAAAATCTTAAAAAAAAAAGTTACTGCTGTTTTAATTGCTTCTCTATGCCTTACACTACTCTCTTGATAAACTCAAGATTATTTTCTGTTACTAGTGCATTTTGGGAGTTCTCAGTTTCAACCTGTAGAATGCTGTCTCTCCTGGACCTGCCTCTGAGTGACATTTATCAAAAAGAGGTTTATCCTACTGAAGTTTTCACAGAAAGAGAGTTTGACATAGGGTAAACTAATGACGGTTCCTAAACTGGACCAATTACTTTTTTCTGAGCAGCTCTAGTTAATCATCCTCACTACTTGCTGCCACCTCATCGCTCCACACCTACTCATGGGGAGTGGGGCAGCCTTGGTTGAAACTTACCTCACATCCGCCTATTATCAGGCTACAAAGGTACTTTGCAAACTACAGTATATTTTACTATAACAGGAAGCTGAAGCCAAAGACTGCTACAGATTGCAACCCCTGGAGGGGGGGTGCTAGTGAGGATTGACAGCCCCAGGCAAAATGCGAACAAAGTATCAATGGGATTGGAGACTGATAAGAAATAAAGGGACTGCAGAAGCAGTTTAGGATTCAGCTTTCAGGATTTCAGCATTTTTCAGATCTTCAGTGATTCCATGCCAATCTTCCAGAAGGCTGTTGAGGGCCTCTGAAGGATGTGGAGAGGCTTCCAGCAGCCAACCTCTGAGAGGAAAAGTTTGGAGACTTTGCAAGTAGCCGAGTAACTGAAACTGTTCCCAGCTTTTTTGCTGTTACAGCCTGGAAGGAAAACTGAAGACCCCGAGTCTGGAGCCTTGCTGAGCTGAGTGAGTTTTGCCGCTCGTCAGGTTGTTCAGCTGCTGCAGCTGCTGTTTTGAGTGTCTCTTGTCTAGTGTTGTACTGGCACATCTCGGCTGCTCCAGTGAGCATCTCCTATTGTGTCTTCCTTAAATCTTTCTTCGTGAGTTGGATCCCAGCCTACAGTCTGGCCGCCACATGTTCCAGGCCCGCAGTGGCAGAAAGATGCCATCTTGGGAGATTTTGTGTTTAGGACTTGAAGATACTAGATGAGGTAAGCAGCCTTTTGTGGCCTCAGTAACTCTTTGTTTTCTCTGGTTTGTTAAATAAATCCCATTATTGTTCTCTGAATCTGAGTAGTCTTGCAATTGTGCATGCAGATGAAGAACTCAGTGACTGGTAAACTATTTGGGCACTGTCCTTGGCCAGTTTTAGTGCCCCTGGCTGCCCTGTATCAGTACTAACATAGAATATTATTGCAATCACATTAGAAACCCATTAAAAAAGTAAAGTTGTTGTGCAAGGATCACATCCATTCCTCATTTCCTTGTCATCCGTTGCCTGAACTACTTTGGGACTAAGTTATCTACTTGTTCCTTATGTTGTAGAGCAACCCCGATACAAAACGGGGTGCCTGACTGTGGGTCCTCACCCGCGCGCTTTAAAGGACTTATCAATGCTCTACTGCAGGCACACGTGAAAGGTTAATAAAAGGTTTATTTACAAGGGAAGGGGAAATGAGGAAATGTACAGCTCTGGGAGAAAAGTGGGAGACGAGGTTTTAAATGAGTCCTACCCGATCCGCCGATTAGGAATCCCAAAATGGCGCTCTCAGAGTTGGCCGCCAGCCAGGAGCGGTGAAGCCAGGAGGCGAGCGATAGCGAGCCAGAGAGAGCCCAAGGCCCACGTGTTTGGTTTTTATATCCAACCTGGCTACCCAACTCCACCCTCAGGTCCCAGCCACCCTCCCTTGGTGGTGATGGGATTTGTCTTTCCCAATGTCTTGATGGCTTTAGTCTGGAGTGGGGGTGGGGTCCACAAAGCCTGTATGGGATTAACTCAGGACATCCTTTCCCCCTAACACTTAGACTCTTTAAGAGGTTACCCATGTGAGTGCAGGACCCACAGGAGACTCCAACTTTTCAGAAATATTTTTTTATTTAAAAAAATATAATGAATGTCGATTCATTCTGAGTACATATATTTTTATTACCATCTATTTTTAAATTTATTTTTATTTATTTATGCATACAAAAACTAGAGGATAGGCCAGAGATGCAGGGGGTGAGAAAGAGAGTAGGGAGCAAAACAGGCGGATCTACTGAGATACACTGCTAAGCACTGGGCAAGATAGGAGAGGTCTGCTGCACCATGTGGGTCAGCTTCCTGGCCAGGATGAAACTCATGCCGCAATGGCTGGCAGTAGCTTGATAATTTGATACTTTCACTCCTGCACACTAGGGAGGACCAACTCTTTTTAACAACTGACTTAAAACCAAACCCCTTGTGAAAATTTAGTCTATTTAGTAATAAGGAAAAATGAATGTCGTTGTATTTGTATCTTCATGCCTCCAGCTCTTTTAATTTGGTGTTTTCTTTTATGACTCCTGTTTCTGCTTCTCTCACAATTGTCTGTAATAACATTACTTAAATGCTAGACTCTAAGCTTCCTATTATGCATGTTAGCTACAAATGATGATGTTCTCTGCATAAGCTGAAAATGGGGTTAGTACACAGATCCCTGTCCCTTCTTCCTTAACTCTCATTTCTCTGAAGTGTGATCTGTACTTAGCACCATAAGGATTAGATTTGCCTTGCGTTCCCTCAGATGAGATTCTCTTTCCACCCACCCAATGAGCCTGGTGAGAAGACTCTGTCAGGAAATGTCCTCTTCAGTTTTAGTCCCTTATTTCTTTGCATGGATGGCCCACTCTCAAATCCATCTTGGTGCAAAATTAAAATTCACCTTCCTGATTCTGGCCTTTGGTGTATCCCATAATTCCTCTTAAGCCACAAAATTATTTTTTACCCTTTTATGGTATACTTTGTGCTTTATGAGTCATGCTCTTGCAACTTTTTGTTTGCTTTGCAGTAATATTCATCCTAAAATCTTACAACTTAGAAATAGTACTGCTCTCCAATTCTCAGTAGCTTACATTTTACTCTTTTTTTTAAAGATTTATTTATTTATGCATACAAGACTGGGGTGTAGGCCAGAAGTGTAGGGGGTGAGAGGATTCACCAAAGACAGAGTGGGGAACAGAACAGGCAGATTTGTTACAGGGCAGGGAGAGGGTCAGCCCAGACCCCGCAAACATGCCTACTCTAAATGGATTCTGCTATCCACCACATGAACACAAAACATATGCGACTTTAATGGGAAGGAACTTTAATACAATTAGGAAACAATACAGGAAAGGCAAAGAATATAGTTTCTAAATTAAGTACACAAAGTTCCCCGTCCCCTCGTGGGTAAAAGTCTACCCAAGCAGGATTGTCCCAGAGCAAGGCCCCAAAGCCTGCCTCAAGTCTTTTTTTTTTTTTTAAATGCTCGCCATCTCTTTTTTTTCCTTTAATATTTTTATTTATTTATTTATACAAGCACCGGGTACAGTCAGAAGCGCGGGAGGGTGAGAGAATTCACCAGAGCCAGAGCGGGGAGCAGAGCAAGGCAGAAGGACTGAAGTACACTGCTGAGGGGAGCGGCGGGCGGCAGGAGAGGTCTGCGCGCCATGTGGGACACTCCTCCGGTGGCCGGGGAGCAGCCAGGGATCGAACCGGCGCCGCAGAGGCTGCGGGCAGCTTCGGAACCCAGCGCTCAACCGCTGCGCCACCGGGGAGGCCCTGCCTCAAGTCTTAAGCATCTTCCAGTGGGGACCCACAGAAAAGGATCAGAAACAACCAGACAAGTCTGGAAAGAAAAGCGCAAACTCAAAATCAAGACAAAAACCGCCATTGTCACCTCCCACGGGTCTCACCCACATCTGTGTCACCCAGTCCATGACCAAAAGGCAAGCACAGTTTCTTCATGTGCCTCTCCATTTGCCTCCTCCAGTTCTCCTTCTGACTCTCTATCCTACTTCCTTCCTCAGTCTCCTGCAGCTTCTTCTCTCCCTGCTCAGCACCACCCTCCTTTTTGGGTGGGGCAGGGAACCTGGAACCTCCCCTTTCCTGGGGACCACCCTGTTACAGACTGACTGAAATAGACTGCTGGGGGAACAATGGGTGAGTCAGGAGAGGTCTGCTGCCCCATGTGGGTAGCTCCCTGGCCAAGGGATGGAACTCGTGCTGCAGTGGCTGTGGATAGCTTCGTAGGTTGCGTCTTAACCCCTCACGCCACCAGGGAGATCCTACATTTTACTCTTGCAAATGTCTTTGTTAATAGACAGTGTTTACAGAAGTCAAAGTATGTGTCCAAAATAAAAAATCATGAGCCGGAATGATAAAAACCAAATTAATGAGGGAGGCTTTGATACCATGATAAACAATGAGGTGGAAGAGAAAAAGAGTGAATCAGTAATACAGAATGAATTAATAATACTTTCTTTTTTAAAAAAAATATTTATTTATTTATGCATACAAGAGCTGGGGTGTAGGCCAGAGGTACAGAGGGTGAGAGGATTCACCAGAGACAGAGTGGGGAACAGAACAGGTGGATTGACTGAAATGCACTGCTGAGGGGAGCAGCGGGTGAGACAAGGGAGGTCTGTTGGGCCATGTGTGTCACCTCCCTGGCTGGGGAGGGAACTTATGCTGCAGTGGCTGCAAATTGCTTCATAGTGCTGAGACTTAACCCCTTGTGCCACCAGAGAGTCCCAATAATACTTTAAAAAAAAAAAGTGGAAGTAAAGGGCCTCTCTGGTGGCGCAAGGGGTAAGTATAGCACTGGGAAATTATCCGCAATGGGAAGTTACCCACAGCCACTGCAGCACGAGTTCCATCCTCTGCCAGAGAGCAACCCACATGGTGCAGCAGACCTCTCCTGTCTCAACCAGCTGCTCCCCTCAGCAGTGCATTTCAGTCACTCTGCTTGTTCTGTTCCCTACTCTGTCTCTGGTGAATCCTCTCATCTCCCACAACTCTGGCCTGTACCCCAGTTCTTATATGCATAAATAAATCTTTTTAAAAAATGGGAGTAAATAAGTTAAAAAGTTAAGATTTCATAAGGCTAAGTGGTCAATTCATGCCTTCCTACATTAGTCTCTAATGTTGTTTGAACTCTTACGCAATCTTTCAAAATGTCATACTATTTAAAAAGTTAATTCTACTATTTAAAAAGATGAAATAATGCCTTTTGGGAAGATACGAATAGATCTTGAAGTGATTAGGATAAGTGAAATAAGTCAGAAAGGGAAAGATAATTATTAGATGGTTTCACTTATTTATGGAATATAAATAATCAAAGAAAACAGAGTGGTAAAACACAACAAAATAACTCTTAGATTGTTAAAAATATAATGGTTAGAGTAAAGGATGGGGAAGGGAGGGCAAAGGGAGTAGTGAAGGTGATGTGATGGTGTTGGCACTGGAGCTTTGGTGGAAGGTAAGTGTAACATACGTATATGTCGAAAGGTGTGAAGTTGTACTTCTATATGTATAATTATGTAAAACAATGACAAATCCATAAAAATTGGTTTAAAATGTCATAGTTAAAACTTCCTATTCCATTGTGCTATCATTTGCATTTTTTCACTGAAATATTACAGAACATAAGAGCAAGAGAACTTGGGGAGTAAAAGGGGAGAAGACCTATACTGTACAAGGTGGGGAGTTGAAGGATGCAAATTATATTAAATCAAAGTGATAACAAAGGTATCTATTAAGAAAGTTACAAAGAGTACCTAAAGTAGTGTGTAACTACAATTACTGTAGAGGAACTAAAAATAGTGAGACATCTAAGTTGAGAGGGGGTTGGGTGTAGATGAACTGAGCTCTCATCTATCAAAATGGGAAGGAAGTCCACAGATAAAGTCTGTCTTGATAAATAAAGAAGTGGTGATATGACTGTATTACTTAGAGATAGGGAAGTAACCACCAAGAAGAATTAAAAACTGTAGCATTTAAAAGGTTAAACTTGGTTGCTTCTCAAGTGTAGGTCTAAGGTTTTGGGGGGAAAGAAAAGGAGAAGAAGTAGGGGTAGGATGTAGCAACAAAACATTCTTATTATAATACACCCTTTAGCTTTATAGACTTTTTTGTAATCTAACTAAAAACAATTTTTTAAAAAGATGACCTTTTGATTTAAGGACCATCAGATCCAAGAAAATGTCATTT